CAAAATGGAAAGTCTCATACGGTTCCTTGCATTATCTTTCAAGAGTGCCACTTGGGAAAATGTTCTCTCTATGTGGGCACTGAGTATTAGCAGAGACAGCAATCTGATGGCACCCAGTACAAGTTCTTTAAAACATGAATTTCCCCCAGCGTCTTTGAAAGTTTCAGTCTCCATCCAAAACCTGTAATTATCCTGGTCACTTGAGAAGCCAGCTGATGCAACATTTCTCCACTGACAGTCCAAGATGTCAATGGAGCATGTAAAAAGCTCCATCAGCAACTCTCTGACCCTTGGTCTGTTTATGGTGGACATCACTGACGTAGGGAAGAGCAGCTCCATTTTCCGCAGCATAGCCAGCGATTCGGTTAAATGCATTTGATATTGCACCAACAGTTCTTTGATAAAAGCAAAGCACCTCTCAGAGATTATTTCCTTTTTTCAGTGCTCAGTGCGCTCACGCTGACCTCATCTTGAGATGTGGTGCCCAAGACTGCACGTTGAGGGGAGAGGCATATGCTGGTTGATATTAGATTGAGTTCTCTGAGGTGACAGTTGCCGTTCACTCTAAAAACACTGGGCTTTGCGATTCTCTGCAGAGTGGACAAGTAAAGTCTCTCAAGATACTGAAAGACACCTGTAGAGTTGCCTCTCTCCAGTTGAAAGAGCTTATTCACTGTTTTTATTTCCCCCAAGACTGGCTAAAAGAAGTGCATGTAAAGTCTGTTTGCTTGATCACTGTACATTTTGCTCAGCAGCCTTGCCGTGTAGCACTGTTCCGCACTGGCTGCAACACTGAAGTGCAGCTTCAGCGCATCCCGCTGTTGTAAAATTCTGTCGATACAGTCAGCTACACCAAACCAATGAGTAGTGCATGGTGACTGTAATTTCAGTGGGCACAATCCATCAGTAAGTGTTTTGTAGAGAATTATGTAGTCAGATTGTCTCTTGGCTGAGCGACTGTAGGTTGTAGGTTTCCCTTATCATAAAGTCGACATGGCTCAGGAGTTGATCCATGGCCTTATTTGCCACTATATCCAGTGAATGCCAAACATACTTTATAAATTTTAGATAGGGCAGTATTTCTTTGAAAGTGTACACAGCGTGATTTTTTTTCTACCATAACTCTCGCTCCATCCTTACCATGTTTTTAATGTTTAGGCCATACTCTTGCATGAAGGTAAGTATCACGTCTGTGATGACCCTGGCGTTTGCGCTAGTCAGTTCAACTAATCCCAGGTACCAGCTGATGAATTTGCCATGTTTAATTAATCAATAATTAATGCATATGCACAGCAGTTTATTGACAAATATATTGGTGGTCTCATCCAAGTAGAGGGAGAATGGGGACTCACCTATATCGCTTTTTAGCTCACATCTAAAGTGAGGGGCCAGCACTGATTTTATGATGGGTGTTCACTCTGTGCGGTGCATTTTGAATTCTCCAAATTCTTCTTCTGTTATATCAGACAGGTCATTCACAGCATTGATTGACGTGTGGCAGGCCACTTATGTTGCGATTTGAAGTTCCCTTTTCTTCTGATCATTCATGATGTTACCCTCTCCAAAGCTTGTTGGCCAAGCGAACAACCTAATGCTAACATTCATATTCAGGAGACAGAGTGACATGGCAGCCTCGCCTCTGTCAGTGTGCCCCAGGGCAGCTGTGGCTACAATAGTAGCTTACCATCACCAGGGTATAGAGTGAATGAATGAATGCTGAATGAATGATGCTGTGTAAAGCATCTTTGGGGACAGAAAATGTCTGTGAAAGCGCTATATAAATAAAGACTTACTTACTTGTTTCAGCATGATCTTTGAGGTCTCTTAGTTGAGCTTGTATCTTGCTCTTGCAGTACTTGCACCATGCCTTGGACGGATCCTACAGGACATGTGCAATCCATGCTTTTACATGAGTTATTTTATTTAATAAGACAGAGACAGTGCAGAATTTACATTAACCTTAACAGGAAAGATGCATTGTACCAGGTTGTAGCACCAGCCTTAAATTACATTGATGTATTTATTGAATGAAATGTATGATGGTGTGAAAACAAAAACCACCCAAACTTGTTGAAAGTACCCCAGATATTATCTGCCCGCCTAAGGCTTTCCCTCCCCACCTGATGTAGTCAAAAGAAGCCCAACTGGGCAGGCACCCCGCCCAATCTGGTAACACTGCCGGTGTATCAGGTTGGGCTGGTTGTTGGGGCTGGGGGTGAATGGTGGAACAGGTTGTGCTGCTGCGTAAACTTTGAGCCTGGCTGTGCATTGTGCTTTGATAGATATATTTCAGTCAATAGTGACCAAACGGACTGTTTCTGGCATTCCTTATAATACTATAAGTACTCTTTTTTGGTCAGAACCAAGGAGAGCGATAGGTCGCAGATAGGTCCATTCTATGCACCGAAAGTTTTTATAACGCAACAAAATATTTAAATGGGCATGAAGCTATTCAAATCTCTATTATGCACAGATAATATAAGAATATATTAGTCAGTCATTTTATTAGGTTAAACAGGGATTTGATGACATTTTTAACTTAAGGCCCACCCACAATTGGTGTGGCCCATCCACAATTGGAATTCTAACGCCATTGTGCCTGATTCACACCCAAAGAAGTCCTGGTATGCTCATGTTTAATGCAGGGAGGGCACTATGACGTAATATGAGCTCAATGCTGAGGCTGTACTTTAGGTGGATAAATAGAAGCTCGTACCTCAGTTTAACGTGTCTGTGTCTGTGGTGAACAACATGAAGTGCTCTGTCCTCTGCCTCTTGGCTGTGGCCTTTGTGCCTTTGCTCTCCGCTCTGAAAGGTCAGTCACTTTGAATATACTTTTAAATGGAAAACGTAGAATGTCTATGTTGTATAGTCACAATTCTATAACCTCACATAGCTTCATATGGTGTCATTTTTCCACAATGTCAACTGGTTGTATCAACTTGTTTGTTTTGGTAAGATTTACTACATCACAAATGCATTGAACTGGAACATTTGTATATATTGCATTTATTAAATTTATTGCAAAACATAAAAAAGACAGTAACATCTCCATGGAGACAATCAAATCGTGAACCCTCTACCTAAAAGATGAGCACCTTAAAGCTATTCACTTATATAATGACAATTTTTTCTCATTAAAATATGTTTCTAGTGGCTTCAGAGAAAGATGGACGTTGTCCAGTGAGCTTTCTGAACGTTGATGTTCCGCTCGGTCTTTGCCGGGAGCAGTGCTCCACAGACAGAGATTGTGAGGGGAACTTGAAGTGTTGCTACAGCGGCTGTGATCGCCTGTGTCAAGAACCACTCAGAGGTAACATGACCCTCAAGAATATATGTGGATGTTGTTTTTAAAGTATTGCTTGTGGTTTCTCAGTAAATTTAAGTGATCAAATCCTTTGTTATCCTTGCCTCACCTCTTTGTATACATTATTTTTTTCTTGTTACTAAGAATATTTTTAGATATATTTTTTAAATATTTTTTAGAAATATTTGCTTTCTTAATGAACTTCTTCTTCTTCTTCTTCTTAACTTCATAAGTGTCCACAGAAGTGCCTAAACCCAAACCAGGATCGTGTCCTAAACCAAAGGGTTTTGTGGACTGTACCCATACCTGCAAATCTGACCAAGACTGTAAGGACAACCTGAAATGCTGCTCCAACCGCTGTGGACGAACCTGTCAGAAGCCAGTCAAAAGTAATACACCCTTTAATGTTTGTTTCAGTCGTCTGGGATTACTATATAATGCATTATGTAAAACATGATCAAAACAGTAACAACAACCACCAAAGGGCATATTTTCAATGAATGAATCAATAACATCTCCACAGAGATAAGGATGTGGCCGACCCTCCACCAGAAAAATCACAGTGCACCTTTAATACTGTTATTTCTGTTTTTTATCTCCACAGGAACCAAACCAGGATCCTGTCCTGCTCCAATCCCCCATGTGTTTAAGTGTCTTGATCAATGCTCTGACGACAGCGAATGTGACAAGAACTTCAAATGCTGCTACAGCGGCTGTGGCTATGAGTGTAAGAGCCCTGAACATGGCAACCATGGAAATATGGGAGAATAGTAATCATCACAAAGAATCCAACTTTCTGTTGAATTTATTTGTTAAATAAAGATGACAAACCTCTCTCTTGTTGTGCTATTTTGAACAGTTTCATATTTGAATCATTTAACTCTTTAAAGCTACCCTTTGTAATTATATTGGCTGACCTGCTGTATTCTCACTTAACATCATTAGATGTTATCTACTTTAACGCAGTCTCATAGTGAGATAGCTTGACAGAAAGCATGAAGACCAGAAAGCACAACCTGAACAAAGGCCAGGTGAGGGGAGGGGGGAACAGGTTTCAAAACTAACATCTAATGGTAAAAAAAACAAAAAAAATAAATAAATAAATAAACTTACAAATAACAGCTTTAATGTGGTTAGTCAGCTGGAGTTAGGTTTTAGGGTTTAATACCACAGTAATACAAAACTATTTGCATCCAAAAACAAACAAACCAAGTGTCACTAATTAGTTTTTTTTTTTTAGATTTAGATTTTTTTTATTTTTTAAAGGGACAATGCATACTAATCAACATAAATGTAAATATGCCAGAAATAGCCACATTGCCATAATTACTATTGAAGGTGAGACAGAAATAAAATCTTGATCAAATTTCAGATTAATAAATTCATCAATCAATCAACTTTCATAAGAGTAAATTAATGTCATTACTATTAGTATTATTTTCAAATCCAAGCCCAAAGTCCCATTTTGCTCCTGTATAATGCAGGGCGGGCACAAGGACCCAGCATCGGCTGATGCTGTACTTCAGGTGAATAGATAGAAGCTGTACATGAGTTTCACGTGTGTGCGTCTGTGTCTCCTGTGAACAACATGAAGTGCTCTGCCCTCTGCCTCCTGATTGTGGCCCTGGCCTTTGCGACTTGTGTCTTTGGACAAATGTGGAGTCTGTCTGTAGTAACTTCTTTGAAATCGACAAAAGGTTTGATTAAACTCAAATGAGGAGAATGTCCTAGTGCAGACGGTTTTGGGATCTGTGTCAGTTCCTGCACCTCCGACCAAGACTGTGATGACATCTTGAAATGCTGCTCCAACGGCTGTGGAAAAACCTGTCAGGACCCAGTTATAACAAGTAATACAATCTTCAGTTTGTTTGACTGACTGTCCCAATACAATCAGAATACCTGATCATTATTTGATTTCAACTGAATTTATGTTTTGGAAATAATATTGATGGGCAGTCACTGAATATGGGTGTGGTATGGAATCTATTTTATAATACTAAACCACTTTATATAGCCTACAGTTATTTAAAGCAAACTTAACAAAACACTGACACTGTTTTTTCTACAGTTTCTCTTCAGAGTCCAAACCAGGAATGTGCCCTGATCTGATCCCTCATATCTTCGAGTGTGATGATACATGCTCCTCAGATAGCCATTGTGACAGGAACTACAATGTTGCTACAGCGGCTGTGGGTACCAGTGCACAAGCCCTGAGCATTGCAAAAAGGCAAATAAATTGCAATAATCAGCTCAGTCATTAAAAGGGTTAATCTCCTGAATCATGAATTAAGTACTTGCATAGCTCTTATTTTAACTGTTTATTCGTATAGGCCTGCTTGTCAAAAGACTCACCTTTGCTGAGAAAATTGTGAAAAAATTGTGCAAATACCTGAAATGTTTATAGTAACAGTTACAGTTACATGTTGTTGATGCATGTCCTGTGCTTTTTGTCCTGCTCTGTTTTCAGTTTGATTGTTTAATAAAGATGTCAAACTTCAACAGAATGTTTGTTGTTGTGTTAGATCGAAGGTAGTTGCAACAGTTAATACATTCAAATGTCCAGTGACCAAATATGGCTTTTTAGTTGTACCACATAGGGTGAGATAATGTGCAGTCAACTATTCAAACTTTGAATCCACAAAACCTAGTTTTATTTTTCTTAAGTGACCCATATTTAAAAGTACTGTATTATGCAAATTTGACTCTTGTGAGTAAATCTGATTCATTAGTGTATCTGCATCTTCAAAGCTCAAAATTCTCTATTCCACCTTGTGTTGTCATGAATCGGTAGTTTTCAAGTAGGCTATAGCTACCTTTTCCCTTTTGTTCTATAGATATTGGCAAAAAATGCTGTCTAGCTTTTAAAAAATGGTAGCATGGCAGTTTGCATGTAAACATTCTGAAATGTATAAGGTTTTTTTAATCTTATGTGGGCCTGTTTGGCTGTCCCCCATCTTGCTGGCCAGCTCTGCAGCCGGATGTCATCGCTATATAGTCTTAAATTGGAACAATTTAAGACTATATATTGATGTATTTATTGAATGAAATGTATGATGGTGTGAAAACAAAAAACACCTATACTTGTTGAAAGTAGCCCAGATATTATCTGCCCGCCTAAGGCTTTCCCTCCCCACCCGACGTAGTCAAAAGAAGCCCAATTGGGCAGGCACCCGCCCAATCTGGTAACACTGTCGTTTGATCAGGTTAAGCTGGTTGTTGGGGCTGGGGGTGAGCAGTGGAACAGGTTGTGCTGCTGCATAAACTTTGCGCTTGGCTGTGCGTTGTGCTTTGATAGATATAGTTCAGCTAATAGTGACCAAAATGCCTGTTTCTGGCATTCCTTATAATACTATACGTGCTCTTCTTTGGTCAGAACCAAGGAGAGCGATCGCAGATAGGTCCGTTCTATGCACCGAAAGTTTTTACTGTGGTGTCAGTTCATATGAAATTAGCCACCCTCCCCTATAAGCTGTCACAGATTTGGCTGAAATAATTTCCAAAAATTTCTAAAATTACCAAATGAAAGAATCTCAAATTTTAGCTCAGTCTCTTGAGTCGTTCCTGGGTTATGGCCTGTTGAAATTTTGGGGCCATGCTCACTTTTTTTGAAGCCTTAATTTATAAGCATGTTTGAGAGACCATAACTTCATAAAAAATAGAGCTAGGAAGATGAAAATTTTTATTATTGTAAATTCTTGTTCATAGATTCCGAATTTGTTATAAATTTTTATTTTTATTTTTTTTGCAATTTTTGAGGTCCAAGATCTATTTACTCCAAGCAGATATTTACAAACTAACCATTGAACCTGAATATGTGAGAGAAGGACCATTTCTGACAACAATCTCACACTTTTCTGGGCTTTCATCTGTGACAATCCCTACCATGTTTTTAATGTTTAGGCCATACTCTTGCATGAAGGTAAGTATCACGTCTGTGATGACCCTGGCGTTTGCGCTAGTCAGTTCAACTAATCCCAGGTACCAGCTGATGAATTTGCCATGTTTAATTAATCAATAATTAATGCATATGCACAGCAGTTTATTGACAAATATATTGGTGGTCTCATCCAAGTAGAGGGAGAATGGGGACTCACCTATATCGCTTTTTAGCTCACATCTAAAGTGAAGGACCAGCACTGATTTTATGATGGGTGTACTGTTACACTCAACGTGACCCCTTGTCCTAATTGAGATTCACAGCCAGCTAAAACTCTCTCTTGCATCACTTCCTCCAAGGAACAGGCAGGTGTTGTCTTTGACCAGGATTTAATGCAAAAAAGTGTAAAACTGTAACAAAATACAAAAGGGTATTCAGAAAGTTGTAAAATCAACAATGTACATCAAAGTTACATTATATAGACAATTAAATGGCCAATGTTAGCTGAGAAGTAATACACACAACTCAAATACCACTACTGGAACTCAAATCTCAAATATAAAATATATATATAAAATATAAAATGCTACAAACTTCAACAAAATGCTACAAATGCACTTGTCAACATTCATTTTTAATGTAAACACTTACTCATATTGCCACTCAAAGGGCTGGAAATGAGAGGATGGTTTCAGATCTAACCGCAAAACACCTCATGGACTGACTGACATTTTCAAGCTAGTAGTTTTACTTCTTGTCACCTACTGGCTAAATATATCACCAAAATCACAACTAGCGCCCCCCAGCAGGCCGGAAGAAAACAACAACACAAACAGTTCCAATACAATGGGTGTTCACTCTGTGCGGTGCATTTTGAATTCTCCAAATTCTTCTTCTGTTATATCAGACAGGTCATTCACAGCATTGATTGACGTGTGGCAGGCCACTTATGTTGCGATTTGAAGTTCCCTTTTCTTCTGATCATTCATGATGTTACCCTCTCCAAAGCTTGTTGGCCAAGCGAACAACCTAATGCTAACATTCATATTCAGGAGACAGAGTGACATGGCAGCCTCGCCTCTGTCAGTGTGCCCCAGGGCAGCTGTGGCTACAATAGTAGCTTACCATCACCAGGGTATAGAGTGAATGAATGAATGCTGAATGAATGATGCTGTGTAAAGCATCTTTGGGGACAGAAAATGTCTGTGAAAGCGCTATATAAATAAAGACTTACTTACTTGTTTCAGCATGATCTTTGAGGTCTCTTAGTTGAGCTTGTATCTTGCTCTTGCAGTACTTGCACCATGCCTTGGACGGATCCTACAGGACATGTGCAATCCATGCTTTTACATGAGTTATTTTATTTAATAAGACAGAGACAGTGCAGAATTTACATTAACCTTAACAGGAAAGATGCATTGTACCAGGTTGTAGCACCAGCCTTAAATTACATTGATGTATTTATTGAATGAAATGTATGATGGTGTGAAAACAAAAAACCACCCAAACTTGTTGAAAGTACCCCAGATATTATCTGCCCGCCTAAGGCTTTCCCTCCCCACCTGATGTAGTCAAAAGAAGCCCAACTGGGCAGGCACCCGCCCAATCTGGTAACACTGCCGGTGTATCAGGTTGGGCTGGTTGTTGGGGCTGGGGTGAATGGTGGAACAGGTTGTGCTGCTGCGTAAACTTTGAGCCTGGCTGTGCATTGTGCTTTGATAGATATATTTCAGTCAATAGTGACCAAACGGACTGTTTCTGGCATTCCTTATAATACTATAAGTACTCTTTTTTTGGTCAGAACCAAGGAGAGCGATAGGTCGCAGATAGGTCCATTCTATGCACCGAAAGTTTTTATAATGCAACAAAATATTTAAATGGGCATGAAGCTATTAAAATCTCTA